TTGAAAGGTACGTCCCCATGTTTCAGGCCACTTCCTGTGTGTCACCTGTCTGATAGCCCCCCCGATCACTGATTGGTTCCCTTCCCTCCATGTGGTACACAGTCTGGTTTCTTCTGTGTGGTGGCAGTGGGTTTCGACCTTTGACCTCTACAGAGCGTGAACTTTGACCTGGAAAACCTGCCTTGCTTTTCCTCATCTTTATTTTGGGCTCCAGAGTTATTTTATATCCTCTTTGTGAGTATTATTTTGGACTTTATCAGCCTTTTGACAGCCTCGTTATCAGAGGGATTATTATTTTGTACTTTTGTCTTCCATTACCGGTGAGTTCACCTTTTTTTTAAAATTAAAATCCAAGTTTTTGTCTAATATCTCTGAGACTGAGTCCGGTTTTATACTTGTAGGATTCAACATTTTCCGTTTTACTTTCTTCCATTTTGAAGTAAAGGAGAGGAGACCTGTTGCCACTTTATTTACATATTTCCTGAACTTCCTGGTAACACTACGGAAGCCTGGATTATTGGCAAAGTAGGTCTAACTCAACATCTACTGATAAACAAACAAAAAGAGATATATTTCCTATACTCTGGATAATAAATTCAACTTATTCTTTCTTTAAATCAGGCTGACAGTACTCAGAATGAACTTGTCCCCTCCTCAAGGCAACTCTAAAACACACAATGATCCAGAGTTCGTCTCCAGAAAACTCCCCAAACTCAGTGATTTTTCTGTTTTTTGGGGGTATTTTTTGCTTTTAGGTGAGTATTTGGTCATTTTAAGCCTTGTTTTTGCTTTTTTGGTGAATATTTGGTCATTTTAAGCCTTGTTTTAGCTTTTTTTGTGTATTTTCTGGGTTATTTTAAGGCTTTTTTTGCTTTTTGGGTGAAGATTTGGTCATTTTAAGGCTTGTTTTAACTTTTTTTGTGTATTTTCTGGGTTATTTTAAGCCTTGTTTTGCTTTTAGGTGAATATTTGGTCATTTTAAGCCTTGTTTTAGCTTTTTTTGTTCTATTTTTGGCCATTTTTAGCCTTGTTTTTCCTTTTTATTGGTGAGCATCCATCCCTCCATCTGCTGGTGTTCATCCACTTCTGGTTCCTCTGGCAGAGCTCAGCTTTCCTCCTGTTTCCTTCCTTGTCCTTCTCTCTGATGGAGACAGACTTTACTCCTCATCTCAGACTCAGAGAGGCTATAAAATGATTTAGTTTCGTCTTATGAACCCCTTGTATGATCCTTATGGCTGCTCTCACTTCATGAAGATTTCCCTTTTAATAATTTCCTATTTCTTCTCCCTCAGACGGACTCAGACTTTTGCTTTAGAGTGGAGTTTCCTCCACATCTGGGAAGCTTTTGCTCCCTGTTCTCCTTCAATTTCTCGGCTAAATGGAGGCGATCTGTCCTCTTCTCAGAGAAACAAATAAACCGAATCGTCCCGAGACCCAAAACCTCCTCCAAGGATGAATGAAATATTCCTGAATCTAATAACGGCTGCCAATCTTTATGAAAAACCTGCCCCACCTCTGTTAGATCCCGGCTCAAATCGAATCCAACTTTTAGAATAATCTGACAAAAGGCCAGAGGGGAGACGTGTGCATCAAATTTAGCCTCGGTTTAGCTTCTTTTGTTGTATTTATGGACATTTTTAGCCTTGTTTTAGCATTTTGGGGCAATATTTGGTCATTTTAAGCCTTGTTTTAGCTTTTTTGGTGTATTTTCTGGGTTACTTTAAGCTTTGTTTGGCTTTTAGGTAATTATTTGGTCAATTTAGCCTCGGTTTAGGTTTTTTTGTTCTATTTAAGAACAGTTTTAGCCTTGTTTTCCCTTTTTTTTTAGGCGGAGAAACAAATAAGACCCAAAACTCCTCCAAGGATGAATGAAATACTCCTAAATCAAATAACGGATGCCAGTCTTTATGAAAAACCTGCCCCACCTCTGTTAGATCCCGGCTCAAATCGAATCCAACTTTTAGAATAATCTGACAAAAGGCCAGAGGAGGAGACACCTCTGAATAAAACTGCTGCCATTTGCACTTCTCAGAAACCACTTTTATGTTTGTAAAATCCCATGTCAGGATGGGAAACAGGGACCCGCCGGCGAGTCATGAAAGGGTTTCACTTGTTTTGAATTTTGAGGCGAAATCGTCGCTGAAAAAGCAGAAACCTGCCTGATGCTCCAGGTGGGAACAGGTGGGAAGTTTTGGAGAATCATGAAAGAAAACCCGAGCAGCTGCAGGTCCAGATGTTTACAGGCTGGGAGCTGGGGTTCAGTCCACTTCTGGTTTTAACTTTTTTTTTTTTGTATTTTCTGGGTTATTTCAAGCCTTGTGTTGCTTTTAGGTAAATATTTGGTAAATTTAGCCTTGGTTTAGCTTTTTTTTGTCGTATTTATCAACATTTTAAGCCTTCTTTTAGTTTTTTTTGCGAATATTTGGTCATTTTTTTCTCTGTTTTAGCTTTTTTGTCATATTTATGGTCATTTTTAGCCTTGCTTTTGCTTTTTTTGTGAATATTTGGTTAATTTAAACCTTGTTTTAGCTTTTTTTGTCGTATTTAGCGACATTTTAGCCTTGTTTTCGCTTTTTGGGTGAATATTTGGACATTTTTAGCCTTGTTTTCACTTTTTTGTGAATATTTGATCATTTTAAGCCTTGTCTTCGCTTTTTCTTGTGAATGTTTGGTCATTTTTAGCCGTGTTTTCGCTTTTTTGGTGTATTTTCTGGGTTATTTAAAGACTTATTTTGCTTTTAGGTGAATATTTGGTTAATTTAGCCTTAATTGAGCTTTTTTTGTTGTTGTATTTTTGGATATTTTAAGCCTTGTTTTCGCCTTTTTTTATGTATTAAAACACCAAAAAAGGTGAGCATCCATCCCTCCATCAGATGGTGTTCTAATCTTCATCTTTCTAATCTTGAATCACATCAGATTAAGATGATTGGACTCAGAGCTGGCTCATCCCTTGAGTTAGGGGCCTGTTTTCTGCCTGAATGACAGAACTAAACAAAGAGGGGCCCTTTAAAACCTTTGCAGGATGTTTTTTAATGAACTGCACATAAGATTCTTCCACTGCTCACTTCTTCACATTATTTCTGCCCCTGATTTTAGCCGAGTGGAGACCCAGAGTCCAGCTCGGGGGGGGGGGGGGGGGGGGGGGGGGGGGGGGGGGGGCGGGGGGGGGGGGTCACCTAATGACCTCAGCCACAAGCAAATGAGGATGCGTCTGTGAGAGCAGAAACTAACGAACCGGCTGTGAATGAAACCTTAAATTGGCGTCTCTCGTCCATTAAAACAAACCGGGATCGTGAGTCATGCAGCCACCAGCAAATCCGAGCTTCCTGCCCCCCCATCCCGCTCGGATCAGCTTAATCTGACGTTATTCAAGATCAGAAGGATGAAGATTGGTTTAAAGTCTTCATCCACCTTTGATTTCTTCCTATTCTCCAGCCAGACGTCCTTTAAAATGTTCCTTAGTGACTCTGATCCAGGATTTCTGAGCTCTTTCAGAGGTTTTGTTGGGTATTTTCTCATTTTTCTTTCATTTTTTAGTCCAGTTTGAATCTTCGTTGAGTCAGAAACAGGCCCCTAACTCAAGGGATGAGCCAGCTCTGAGTCCAATCATCTTAATTTGACGTTATTCAAGATCAGAAGGATGAAGATTGGTTTAAAAAGTCTTCATCTACCTTTGATTTCTTCCTATCTTCCAGCCAGACGTCCTTTAAAATGTTCCTTAATGACTCTGATCCAGGATTTCTGAGCTCTTTCAGAGGTTTTGTTGGAATCATTTCTAATTTTTCTCTCATTTTTAGTCCCGTTTGAATCTTTGTTGAGTCAGATAAAGGCTGGAGGACGGGGGGGCATTATTGAGTCATATTTGAATCCATTTTCTGGTTTTAACAGGCGGCTGATTTATCCCATAGTAGTTCCCCTCCACTTGCTCCCATCTATCTTCATCACAAGCCCCCTGATATTTAATCGGATGTGATTACTCCTTTAATTCACAGCCATTAAGACGTTATGGAGGCTTGGTTGCACAGACACACACAAAAGGGATTCTGATATGGGAGATCTGCAGAAGTCCGGTTGCATAAGAAGCCTATTTTAAGGCTCCAGATCCACAAATGTGACGTATTGTTAGCATCAAAACTCATTTCAAGGTTGAGAAACTTTCAAACGTACCAGCAGGAGCCTCATTACCGATTCTCCTCTCAGGAAAGGGACGGTTATCATTATTTTAAGGCCGTTGCTGAGAGATTTTAATGAACACATAAAAGAGCAGCTGAGTCACTGACAGAGAGGAGATGACATTTCCAGAAAAGTTACAGTTAAGCTGATCATTGTTTGCTCATTTCTGGGTTTATTCAAGCACATCAGGGGGGGGAGGGCTATTCCAAATCGAGATTAATCTGCATTATTGTCTGTGATTGTCATCCAAAGTGATCATTTAACGCTAAAAAGCAGAAGAATCAGAGTCTGATCAGCCAATTGTGCGGGTTCCTATTCAGATTTTCCGTGTGAGGACTCACTCATCATTGGCTGAGCGGCAGCGCGTGCACGGGGGCCGTTGTTGTTGACTTTTTCGTGGCATATTTTGCCCAGCAACTTTTACGGGATGACTCACCAGAGCGGCTGTTACGCATGACCACAAAAAAAAAGGAAAAATGAAAGGATAAGGTGGAGCGAGCGGCCGGCTCCGCGCGCATAAAAAGCGGCCCCCATCCCGGGAGCGGGCACCATTTCAGAGCGGGCACGCGCACCGGGACCATGCAGAGCTCCAGGCTGCCCAGCGGCGCGCGCCTGTGCGCGCTCCTGCTGCTGCTGACCGCCGGCCAGCGCTGCGCCGGACAGCTGCTGGACGCACAGTCCGAGGAGGAGCTGACCCCCCGGGCCCTGCGGGACTTCTACCCCAAAGGGCCCAACCTGACCAGCGAGAAGCAGCTGGTGAGTCCCGGGTCCGACCCCCCCAAAAAAGAAAAAAAAATGCGATTTTTTACCTGATTCTGTCATTTCATTACGCTTTTTTTGTCTTTATCTTTTGAATCTCACCTTGTTAATAAGATGTTTTCTTTAAAAAAAAGTTGGTAAACATCTTCATATGAAATCAAATTAAGGTTTTTCTGTAGGTTCCATTTTGTACTGGAGCTGATGCCCCCCTAAAAAAATGTTTTTAAAAAAGACCAACCCCTCGTTTTTCCCTGATTCTGTCATTTCATAGTGATTTTTTTTCTTTCTCTTTTGAATCTCACTTTGTTAATAAGAAGCTTTCTCCATGTTGAGATCAATAAAGTATTCTTCTTTTTCTTTCTTTATAAAAGTCGGTGAGGTTTTTCTGTAGGTATTTAGTTGAATACTGGATCTGACCCCCCCCTCTAAAAAAGAAAAAAATGCTCGTTTTTCCCATATTCTGTCATTTCATAATGATTTCTTTCTTTATCTTTTGAACCTCACCTTGTTAATAAGATGTTTTCTTTACAAAAGTCGGTGAGGTTTTTCTGTATGTTACATTTTGTTGAGTACTGGATCCGACCCCCCCCCCCTAAAAATGTTTATAAAAAGACCAACAGCTCGTTTTTCCCTGATTCTGTCATTTCATAATGACTTTATTTCTTTACGCGCAGATTTCTCTTTTGAATCTCACTTTCTTGACAAGATTCATTCTTTTAAAAAGTCGGAGAGCATCTTCATATAAAATCTAATTAGATCGGTGAACCTTTGCATTTAGTTTTTGATATTAAAGGCAACAACGGGTTTATTTCCATCCATGCATCCATTACGGTTACCGCTTATCCCCTATGGGAATAAGAGTCTATATCCCGGTGGTCAGTGGGGAGAGGCGGGGTCCCCCTGGACTGTGGGTTTATCTCATTTTAGACTAATTCCGTATTTCTAAATAGGTCCTCTTAAATCCAGAGACCCCGGTTACCGGTTGGATCCTTTTTTTGAAGCTTTTCTGCTCTTTTCCTCCCGCTCCAGCTCGGCGCGCTGCAGGAGGTCCTGGAGAAGCTGCAGGCGAAGCGGCTTCCGTCCTGGGAGAAGAAATTCGGCCAAGTCCCGACGGTAAGAACCGGCCGGGACCGGGGCCAGCCCCCACCGGCCCCCCCGGAGCCTAACCCGCTCTGCTCTCCCCCCCCAGTGCGACGTCGGGGAGCAGTGCGCCGTGCGTAAAGGCGCGCGGATCGGGAAGATGTGCGACTGCCCCCGCGGAGCCTTCTGCAACTTCTTCCTGCTGAAGTGCTTATGAGCCCGAGGACGTGAATGTAGCATCTGGGACGGGGGGGGAGAAGCTGAACCCGGTTCTTCTGGACCTCCTCTGGCGTTTTTCAGCCGGGGAGCGGCCGCCCGCTGGTGTCCGACATAAAGTCTATATTTGGAGAGTAGCCGCAGATGTTTCAGTGTCTGTGTGAATGTGGGGGTGAGGATGTCATAAACATGCTAGTTCCTGTAAATATGTGTGTTGTGATGACCCACACTGCACGTGACACGCACCCGGGGACCACGCCCACTCTGTAAAGTCCACCTGGAAAACGTGATTTCTCGCATAGACATATATACATCTATATATCTATATATCTATACATATGTACATATAGGTATATATGTGTATGATTTCTCGCCTTGTGTCCGGTCTGTTCTGTCTCAGATGAATGTTTTGTGTATGCCTCATGAGAATAAACTGTGGAGAATCTTGTTTTGTAAAGCAGTGGAGTTGCTGTAGATTCCTTTGAGAGCAAACACACCTGGGGGGGGGGGGGGGGCATTTCTCTGGCTCGGGAGAAAAAACGGCCTATATAACGCACGTGTTTGCGCATCGGTGACGTCAGGAGCGCGTTCAGCTGCTGCCAGACCAGAACCCGGGGGTTTAAAATTAAAATTAAAAGCAGGGAGCAGCCGCTCACGCTGGGCTGACCACAACCAGACAACCAAAAGACAGAAACAGCAGCCGGAAGGTCAGAGGTCAACAGGCTCAAAACCTCAAAGGAGAGTTAAAGAGGTGATTTTATTTAAGAGGGTTTCCTTTAAGCTGCTACTAGAGGTTTAAACCCAATAGACTTCTGAATGATGCTCATCAGAGGAGACAAACAGCTCTCTGACGTATATATTACCCCCTTTTCAGTCCTTCTGAGAACAAAAAAGAGAAATAAAGAGCACAAAGCTCCTAAAACCGTCAACCACAGAGTGTTTGAGCATTTCCTCTATTTTCATTTGTAATATTTTTAATAGTGTTTTCAATACTTTTCTGTAAATGAGAGTATTTCTTGCTTTTTATTGCTGTTTTAATATCGAGTCCCAGACTTTGCTGCTGCACCATCATTTCTCAGCCCGGGATCAATAAAGAAAATCTCTCTATTAAACATGGATGACATTGTGTCAGCTGTAATAAAGCAAAAGCTTTAAATGACCAGCACAAGCATCCCAAAGCCTCCAAACCAGCCGTGGTTTATGGACCTCACCCACTCTGATTCATCGGGTTTTGGCTCCTGGTATTTTTTCTTCTTAATAATTTCTTTTTTTGGGTGTCGGCTTTTGATCTCATTGAGTTTTAGTCACAGCTCTTTGGCTGATAGCTGGTTTTAGTCTTTCTTTCTGAAGCACTTTCAGCTCTTTTGTTTCCTTTATTCCACCCCTCTCGGGGTTGGGTTAGAGTTGGGGTGAGTTTAAAAGAAAATGGGTCTTTCCCTGTCGGGGGGCGGAGATAAAAGAGTCCTTCAGGGAGATATTCTTATATTATTTTATTTACAGCTTCCAGATAAGTATTGTTCTTTCTTTTTCCAGGTGAAGGTAAATATCAGCTATTTTTTTCAAAGGGGCAGTAAAATAAGCATTAAAAATGTTGGGTAAGCTCCTGTATGTTCAAAATCTTTAATAAATTCTTTTTATAAAAAAAAAAACATCAAATGAAAATCAAAAGAGGAATAAAAGCTTGTGGGTATAGTGTCTAAAAACAATTAAGATCACTACAAGTAATAAAAACCAAGCAAACGTAGCTAGAAATGTGAGGCACTGAGCTAGCTTTGGGGCTATAAGCCTCAAACTTTGGATGACAACGGGTTAGGGTTAGGGTAGAGTTAAGATTGGGGTAGGGCCTGGCTAGGTTAGAGTCAGGGTTTGGGGTAGGATTAAGGTTAGGGTAGAGTTTGGGGTAGGATTAGGGTTAGAGTTAGGGTTTGTGGTAGGATTAGGGTTATGGTAGAGTTCGGATAGGGTTAGGGTCAGGGTTGGGGTGGTAGGCTAGGTTCGAGTTAGGGTTGGGTTGGGATTAGGGTAGGTTAGAGTCAGGGTTTGGGGTATGATTAGGGTTAGGGTAGGGTTTGGGGTAGAATTAGGGTTATGGTTAGGGTAGGGTTTGAGATAGAATTAGGGTTAGGGTAGAGTTTGGGGTAGGATTAGGGTTAGGGTTATGGTTGGGGTAGGTTAGAGTTAGGGTTGGGTTAGGACTAAGGTAGGGTTAGAGGTAGGATTAGGGTTAGGGTTATGGTTAGGGATAGGGTAGGGTTTGGGGTAGGATTAGGGTTAAGTTAGGTTAGAGTTAGGGTTGGGTTAGGATTAGGGTAGGTTTAGGGTATAATTGGGGTTGGTGAAGGTTACAGTCAGTGTTAGGGTATGGTAGGGTTAGAACTAGGGTAGTATTACAGTTAGGGTTATGGTCATGGTTAGGGTAGGTTAGTCAGGGTTCGGTAAGGATTAGGTTGGGTAAAGGGTATAATTAGGGTTTGTGTTAGGGCATGGTATATTAGAACTAGGGGATTGGGGTTAGAGTAGGGAGCTGTATGTACATCTACCTCCAGAATGTCCAATCCTGTCTGTGTTCTTGTGTTCTTGGTTTTGTTTTCCCAGATTGGTTTGTTGGCGTTCTGGATTAGTCCGCTCTATCGCTGTTATTTAGTAACAAAGCTGGTTTGGTCCTCTCGTCTGGGCTTTTTGGCTCCTTCTCAGGAAGTCTCAGCACCAGAGAATACTCACCGTTGGGGTTAGCGCTTTATTACAGGCTGGACCGTTTGATATACCCGACATAAAAAGCCTATAATGTGTGTGAGCTGTCCAGGATAAGTGCCTGAATCATGCTGTAATTTATGCCCAAAAGCACAGACGATGCTGGACCTCCACAGTCTGACCTCTGGGTAGAGTCTTAATTACAGTATGTTCCTTACTGTCAGGTTAGGGTTCCCTAAGCAGAGCTGCTTTTAAGCTCTTTCATAGCATATTTGACGCTTGTTTTTTGCCTTTTCCTACAGACATAAAGGTCTCAGGAGGAGGAGCACTGCTGATAACTCAGGTTAGTTAGAAAAGGCAATAGAAAGAGAAGCCAGGAGTTAAAAAACTAAAGAATCAAAGGCCAGAATAAAGCGTGGGTGATACGAGAATCTGGGGCACAACAAAGAGACAACGATAACTCACAGAGAAGGAGAACAAGAACAGAACCCAGGAGCCCAGGAAAAGGGGTGGAGCCACAACCAGGAAACACGACCATATTAGTCCAGTCCAGGTCTCTGCTCGGGCTTCCAGTGGCTTTAAATCAAGACTTTTCATGGTCTAAAGTCCATCCCTGGCATGTTGGATCCGAATGAACCAGCTGGACCCGCTGGGGCCCAGAACCAGAACCAGAACCAGAACCAGAACCAGAACCAGAACCAGAACCAGAACCAAAACACAGAACTGAACCAGCAGAGGCTTCTGTCAGTTTATGCTCCTAAAACCTGGATCGGTCCAACTGTTTAAATCCAGGCTGACAGCAGCTCTGTTTAGCTGCGAAACGACAACTTATCTGCACTTTTGATCTATTTTTCAATGACTGCTTTATTTAGTTTAAGTTATTCTTAATTTTCTGCCTTTAAAATCTCACTTTTTAATGCGTTATCTTTCATGTAAAGCACATAGAAATTAGCCTTTAATGTCTAAACTGGAGAAACGACAAAGAACAGGAACCGAAATCAGTCTGAGGAAAACAGACCGAGACCATGAGAAAAAGGTCCAAAGAGCACAAAGTCGATCGTATTACCAACCAAAACTTCAGAAAAACACCCAGCAGAACCACGACAGCCGGTGCAGGTTACAGCAATAAAAGGGATTCTGAACTTGGTTTATTTTGGCTGTTTGTGCAGACGACAGTGACCTGTGCTCCGCCGGGCTCAGGCCGGCCTGTGGCTGCATCACCGGGTCATTTCTCACAGATCTTCTCCTCCTTAATTATACGAATCGGAGCCGGCAGTTCTCGGAGACTCTGACTCCACTTTCCCCCGCACACGCCGGCAGACAGAAATGTCAAAAACAGGCGAGAGAAGATTTTTTTTCCGGCTCTTTCTGCCTTTTGTCGCGCCGAATTCCATCTCCATTTCCGTCACTCGGAGGCCGTGCAATTAGCTTTGAATGCACGGAAACCAAAGGCCCAATGGCTGAATCCACACAGCTCCACAGTGAGTCAGCCCCCCCCCCCCTGCACCTTTTTCTTTTTTCGTGTTTTATTGATTTTCAACAACAAACAAGACATGGCAAAGTGCCACCAGTAAAAGAGTAGCTGTCAAAAATGAAGGATAATAGCAATAAAAACGAAACAGAAAAAAGGAAAAAAAGGAAAAGAAATAGAAAACAAGAAACCCAGAACGGGTCACGTTGGGCTCACAAGTTAAGAAGAAAGATATTTAAAAAATAACACAACTAAATAAATAAATAAATAAATAAATAACAATTATAATCATAATCATAATAAGGTAGGAGACTCAGAAAAAAGATAATAAATTGAGATACTAAATACTTGAGCAACAAACATTACACAGTATTGCAGGTGTTTGCTATACAATGCTTCTAATAAGAATAACAGATTATAGATATATCCAGTCTTATATGCACCCAGAAAGGCTCCCATAGCCTTTGATGGACATTGTCCTTAAAGCTAAACGGTGTAAGACTTCCTACAGCTACGCTAGCCCTCAGGCATCAAGAATTAATGACAGCATGACCTCCACATCCTGGGGTTTCTCTGGTGATGAGGTTTGGGATTTAAAAGAAACTACAAACTGCTCTGAATCATTAGTGTGAGCATGTAATACCTCCTCCAACAAGACGGAGAATTACGTCCCCATGTTAGCTTGTTTTTAGCTACAGGCAGACTAGTGCTTTATGTCCCTCTCTGCCATTACAGTTTTTCAAAATGGCGAATCGCCATGGAGACCTCTGTGGACTTACCCATCCTACGTATAGACTGATAGGAAATTCTTGGGAGGAGAAGTCAGATAATTTTACACCAAATGAAGACACATTTAGAAATGAAGAAAATGGTTCTAGCTAACAAAACCCAGCTCCACGTTTTGGGTGGATGATGCCCATCATGCCGATGGGATCCCCTCTGCAGAACTCTGAAAGCCTTTGGGTCTTTCTTCAGTTCCAGATATAGTCCTGGAATGGACTCGGTTTATTTGTAAAGCCTTTAAATGCAACAACAATTCTGACCGAACAGTAGATAAAGAGCTAAACGTAGGCAGACTAATGGTCCTAAATGTGAAAAACCAACGATAAAACACTGACAAAGATAATAAAGTTTAATTCCAGGGAGTCAACGTGCGTTTAAATGAAGTTTAAAAGCAGCGAGTGACACTTGTTGGTAAAGCATCCTGTCTAATCGTTTTGTGGTGAGTAAACGTCTCAGATCAGCCGACCTGAGACAGCGAGGTGGTTCATGGCTCCATTAAAATTCTTTGAAAGGATGTCAAAATCAGTTCAATGAATGAATGAAAGTGGAGTGTTT